CTTAATGAATTCAGAAGACAGTGTCTGTAAATATTCTCGAAATTAAATCATGCTAAGAAGAAATCTGTATCAATGATTTGAACAAACATTTGAAGAAGCGCAGGGCTATAATGTTCGAAAAAATTTGTTCTAACTACCTGTCATCGCAAACGCTAATTACACCTTCTTCCCGTGGTATAATGATAGCCGCATTGACATCATCATTGCATCCTTCCAATTTCGATAAAAGTACAGGTTTACGACTTGAGCTGAATTTGTCATGATTTACGCCTGGAGCGGGCTTTATCTCTGCTGCCATTTCAATCTTCAGAACGTATTCTACGAAGTGGGCTTGTCATTTGACAGTTGTCAGACTTCGATGATAAATCAGCGTCTATGTATTTTACAAAGACGGAAACTCCGATTTTTTAAGAGATTGTGGAGAACCTGTCGGCGTTGCTTGTGTTATTCAGCACAAATCTTCCTTGCCGTCGTTACCTCGAGTTCCTCTTTATCGACTGTTTATCGTTTTACTAGAAATTGTGTAATAAAGGTCCATTGACCGAGGCTTTACATTTGTTGTCCACTGCCATTAGTTTTAAGTTTCTGGTAATTCTGCGGTAATGTAAATAATTCCTCTAATTATTACAATGCATTATGGTAGGATGGCATTAATTGTACACGTAGGTGTCCACTTTATTAAAATATTTAGCATTATATATTTTATTATTCATATATAATATTCTTACTAATAGTTACCGACTGTCATTGTTGATAAATGTTGTACACATGTCAGTCAGATGGTGCATCAGTGAAAATACGATCAGAAACTTCGTATCTTATTTGGCGTTAGTTTGTGCTACTGGAAAATGTGTCAGAAATTGTAAAAGCACGAGATGAGATCTTGTTACACGAAGGTGTCATTATTGATAATATTTGCCAACTATTAAATATTAACAATAACATTATGTCAGGCACTAAGGTAACAAATAATAAATTATACGTATGACTACATTTAAATAAAAAGATACATGTATTATAGAATTTTAAATCAATGACTCTTTTTATCAATGGTAGGTTGACACTAATAAAGATGATAATCTAAAGAGGCAAGGTTCGTTCAGGAAACTGTTGCCCTTAGATACTAATGGAGATTCTCAATTAAGTATGTCTGTGAAAATGATCGACAGGCCAACCATCTCACAGACCAATAAGGAATATTCCATTTATTTGCAAGAATATAATATTTTATCCGAATAGTAAGTTATTTTGATGAATATGCGATTAAAAAAGGATATTCAGTGAGTAGACAACACAAGGCTTTTTCCTCATTTTCTTTTTTCATAGTAAGATGTTGTGTTCCCAAGACTTAAAAGGGATTTATGTCATACCATCGGCACAAAATTCCTTATGTAAGTAATAAAATAGAAATTATTTGTTCTTCTGAATGGACTTCATGCGCGTTAAAGATCATGCATTTAAATTATTTAAGTTAAATATCAATTGGTTCTTAGGTCTTGCTTATCCTGATTTCATCTTATGTAATGGTTTCCATGTAAATATGTGTATATTTTATTGGTTGTTGGATTTTATTATACATTGTGAAAACAAAAAGAAATTTATTGTTTTCAATAGATCTGTTTACTTTTTGTTAGTGTGGTTTGGCGTACAATTCGTTAGGCAAGGAGTCTATCAAGGAGGGATCTTTAGATTTACAGTTACATTACCACAAAGTTTTCCAGATGGTGGATGTCCTGTAAGAATTTTGTTCTTAGTATACAATATGTAAATTCTAGAATCATGTTTTATGCATTCCACTCAAATTTTAGAAAGTCACATTTCAAACTCCAATTTTTCATCCTTTAATTGATCCTGCGTCTGGAGAATTGTGCACTTCATGGGGATTTCCTGAATGGAGGAGAAGTAATAGAATTTGGCAATTAGTACAATTTGTAACCAAAATACTCACAAAAGTCGATATTAAAATGAATCCTGTGAATCAAGAAGCATCTATATTGTATGCATATAAATTATGTATTGCACTTGCAGTATCAAATTGAATTCATTTAAATGACATTATTCCTCCTGTGTTATAGATTAGAAAATAACTTTGAAGATTTTCGTGATCGGGTCAAAAAGTGTGTAAAGGAAAGTTTGGATAATATTTATAATCCACCTATGGTGAATGATCCTCATTACATTGTTTTTGGCCTCTACAGTAGCGAGCTCTATGATTCCATTAAACAAGAAATTTATGAACCTAAGGTAAAAAAAATATTTATGTTTGATTGATACACAATTATTTGCTCATAATGTTACCCTAATTCCTAATAATTTAGGAGGAAGAAGAAGACAAAGCATTAGGTTTATCTTGGGTACAACCAGGTTCTTTGCAACCATTCTCAAAGCCCGAAGCAAGATAATGAGTGCTTATAACATAAATTGCAATATCGGAACAATATACACCTATATGAGATAAAACTGTATACACATCGACACAGGGGATAATTGATAATGTATTTTTATATTAGTAGAAAATGACAAATACTATATAATTATTAGTTACTGTGGTTTAAAGTACAATACTCTGCATTGATACATACTAGTATTAGGATTGGAAATTGCGTCCTGCTCTAAATAATTGTAGTGTATAGACTTAATTGAATTTTACTCAAGTCGTACTTTGTATAAATAAATTTTAAATTAATTTGTTGTATATCAATTCCTTCGGTGTAAATATATAGGTACATACAAGGAGAAAAAGATATCATATCTATGTAGCAATAAGTGGAGATAATCTAAAGTGAAAAAATCTTTTCTTTTTTCAATGGTGTACAAATCATTTATTATAATTATTTTCTCGTATTGATGTATTTTTATATAGTTCAATAATCGATCATTCTATTTACATAGAGCACAGACATAAGATACGTACTGACGTTGCCGCTTATGGGAATTACTGTCTAGGGCTTCGCTCTCGAGACTTCCGTACCATTTCGATGTCGCGCCCGATGTTACCGATAATACAAGTATTTAGGCTTGTTAGTAGGAATCGAATTAACTATACTTCATTTCTGTTACGAGTGGAATAATGTTTACTGAATATAATATAAAAAATAATTTCCACCGATTCGCGAACATAAATCTTCATAAATGGTGTCGATATTTCAGAACAGTAGACAGAAAAATCTATGCAGTTTATAATTACCTTAAGTCTGCGACGCCTCTTTAACAGTGATACAGTTCCCCGAGAGATGGCCGTCGCTTCATTTTCCGAGAATAGTGCATCTGTTTAAATTTCTCCTTAAATTCTACCATTGAATTAAATTCAATTATTTGATTCGGAATGTGGACACCAATCCCTGTTGCATTGCCATAAAGCATGCATGACAAGTGAACGATTTTCACGTAAAATCCTGCTATTGGCAACGGATGGAAATGTATTCTTAGTACAAGAAGAAGCCGAGTAAGAAAGTTTCGTGTAACAATCTCGGGAAATATCTATAGCTTAGAAAATACGTACGGGTGTAGGTGTACATTTTCGAAAAGAACTCAATCTCGCGAAATGTCTATGGCTTAGAGAAAAGATGTACGGGTGTAGGTGTATATTTGTGAAAAGAACAGGTCCGGCGATACGTGGTTCAAGTTATGGGGACCACCCCTTTAGGGGAGTTTAAGCGGAAGGTAGCACTTACCGATGACAAACTTCGAATCGCTAACTGTCAAGATCCGCCCACTGAAAAGCAATAAGTATTACGTTGCGTGGCGGATCGATGTCCTTTCAACAATTCTGCAAGAATATTCTTTCCCCTTCGCGTAGTACGGCTACGATCGTCCTGAGCGAAGGTACAAGGATCCTTGACAGCGATATGCTGGAAGGTAACGATCAGTGAAGTGATAGGCCAAAGGATCATAAACTGTATGTTCGTTTGCGAATGCGTCATTTAAAATTCACGGATCCAACATCTCCTCGGCAAAAACAAAGGTTTTATCACTGATTTAACGAGGAAACCAATTTAGAAGTGGGCGTTTTGCTAATCGCAGGACACCTTTATGGTCCCTTCGCGATTCCCAGTGTGCTCACTACCCGTTCGTACTCTGCGAGAAAGATATTTGAATTGATTAATAAAAGTTCGCGTTAACACCGTTTTCGTAGGCTCTAAACGTTTGTCCTAAAGTATCTAACGCACGAAACGGCTTATCAAGCTTGACAGTATCATTGGTAGGAACGTAGTAGCATTCTCGCGAAAGGTATAGCTCCAAGGAGCGAACGGACATTGAACGATGAATATCCAATTGTACGGCGACAATGAGTACGAGAAGCTCATCAAGCCCATAATGACAACCGGGCGGATAATTTCTATTTGGCCGCTGGCCGAAGACAGCAGCAGAAGTTCGGTGCTTTTCAGGACGTTCCATCTGTCCTGTATGTTCTTCTTGGTAAGCTCGACTTAGAGGGAAACAAATAATTGGCTGAACTTGTCCCTGGCTTGTTCGATTGTGAAGTGGAATGAATGTTCAGGTGGTCGTGATGTCGGTCGCAGTGACGGCCGACGTGATTCATAATCTGAATGACCTGGACGAGGCGACCGAGTGCGCCCTAATTTGTACAGCGTTTTACCTTTGCGTCGTCCGGTTGCTGGTTTACACCGCCCATCAGAAAGACATGCTGTACGTGGTGAACACGATGCGGGAGGACTGGACCATGTCCACGTACGAGGACAGGCTGATCCTGGCGGAGAAAACGATGTTCGCTTTTCGGCTGGCCAAGTACTTCATTACCACCGTGGCTGTGACCATCGTTATGTTCATGTGCGTTCCGCTTCTGGAAGTACGTACATCTTGAGCTTCACGCGTACACGAAAGTTCGAAGTCTGCGCTGTATTTGCGCGTTCCGTTCGTTTGCTTTAGTTCCGAAGAGGTCCGAAGCGGTTTGGCGATGTTCGAAGGCGTTTGTAGATGTATTTCAGGATGTCTAGCTTTCGATTAAACGCGATGTCCAGATTTTTATCATTGTAAAGCGATTCTTTACATTTTACACATTTACATCTGTCACGAGTGGATGCAGTGAATCACCGAGTGACGATGACCAAGTGAAACAACAGAGGGCGGAGAAGCCGCGAGGATGTTTCGGAGAATCTGTTGCTGCGAATCGTTTAATGAACATTGATAATTATGTGACTGTCGCAGATCTACGTGGCGGGAAAGGAGAAAACGCTTCCGTTTCGCGGCTACTTTTTTGTCAATTACACCGTGTCGCCGATTTTCGAGTGTCTATACTTGTTCAACGTGACTGCCGGCGGCTTCGGCGGAAGCATGATCGCCGGCGCGACCAGCTTCAACTTGATAGTGATAATGCACGGATCGGCGAAATTCGCTGTTCTGCGGAAGAGGCTGGAGTCTCTGAACGACGAAGATCGGGACTGTTCGTCCGCGATGACGGACTGCATAATTCGCCATCAGCGAGCGATAGAGTGAGCTTAGCTTAATAATCACGGTAATAAGTTCAACGTGAATTATTGTATTCCTATAAAATTATCGAAGAGAGAAGTCTTCTAGGATTAACTCGAAATCATTCAACGAGAATAGTCATGATGTTCGAGCGTACATACTTCGCGTTGTTCACGAGGCAAGGATCTGTCTCTTACTAGGGATTTTGTTTATGGTTTCGATTAGTTACACGTAACCTTATTAACGATTAGCGAATTAGTCTCGGGAATGAGATAAGAAAAGACGAAAGCTGACCAATGAGACCTGCGTCCGTTTCAGGGCTCGTCTCGCGAACAACGCGGAGTAAGTACTTGCCTCAGCTTCGAACAACTTTACTCCCTTTTGTCGTGATCATTAATCGCGAGAACGATTCGTTCCCAGGTACGCAGATGCGCTGGAGAGGATCATAAATGTTCTGGCTTTGGGGCAATTCATCATTAGCACCGGCATGATCTGCTTCGCGGGATTTCAGATCACCTCGGTGCGTCCGCTCGCGTTTCCGCGTTGTCGGGGCGTCATCGATAAAAAAGTAACCTTTCCAGATGATGGAGGATAAGGGGCGGCTGATGAAATATTCGACCTTCTTGAACTCCGCCATCCTAGAGCTGTTCATGTTCAGCTTCAGCGGGAACGGGCTGATCGAGGAGGTAATTACAAAAGAGGGAAAATCGGGGGGGAAAAAATGGCAATCTCGTAGCGTTGATAGAGCACCTAGATCCGATAGATCCGAGTCGATCCAGGAGTCACGACTGTCGATATCGGGACGCGTGCTCGTTTAGCTGGAGCGGTTAAAGGGTGGCCCGCGCTGCGAGCAGACTCCGTGGACCGAAGCCTTCGAGATTCGATCGGTCGGAATTCTTTGCTTCCACTTCAGAGTTTTCCTTCTGCCCGGGCTGTTCAATTATTATTCCTATTATCCTACGAACTGTAACGTGGGAAAATCGACGAGGTACAACGGACATTGATCTCTCGGAAGTTATAATTAAAACGAATGTCATGAACGCTTTAGAAGCTAGAAGGGAAACGATAGGAGAATAGACTCGGAGGATCTTGATGCTTCCATTAGATTTAAGAGACTCTATTGCTTAACTGATCTACGAGACGTTTGTCCGAGAAATGATCGTTGTTTGGTAACAAAACAGAGCGAAGCGGTTGGCCTGTCAGCCTACAGTAGCGGTTGGTTCGGCGGCAGCTATTGTTCGAGTTTAATGATCATGATAATGCGATCGACGGTGCCCAGCAAGATAACGGCCGCGAAGTTTTATAGTATGTCTTTGGAGAGTTTCTCGAAGGTGAGTGGGAATCGGTTGAAATCAATTTTCAACCATCTTCTTCCGAAGTATATCGCGCACCATAGATATCACTGTTTCCCATCTGAAGGGAACCGATTGTTCTCCCGCGGAAAGCATCGAGGATTTCCCCTTGTTAAGGTACCTCTCGATTTCCAGGTGCTCAGTTCGTCGTTCTCGTACTTCACGGTCCTTACGGCCACCAAAGAGGAGTAATGGCCGCTACGACGGACGTAGACGCTCACCACACGCTTTACGATTGTAGACCAGGTCCCTTGATGACTCAACTTGCAGAGAATACATATACGTACGCTATAGTCGTTCCACCAGCCTAAAAATATCCCCGATACATCAAAGCGCCGCCGGATAGTCCGCGTCGTCCTCCTCGTTCGCCGACGAATTACGATTTCAGGGAGGGTCGCTCGCGGTCAGAGGCAATAACGCTGACCGGTCGCTGACAATGTTTAAAGGTACTGGATTTCGTAACACAACGACGAATACAGATTCGAGCAACCGATATAAATCTCCTGATTGATGATCAATGATTTTCTCCTGAAACTTTCGGGCTAGGTACTTCGAGGTTCTTGCGAGTGCCTTTCAGTGGATTCCGTCTTCTGTCACATAGAAATAGCCGAATCACCTGTCCTACGAACGATTCACCGGGTCTGCAACGACTATAGATGACAGTAGATAATGCAGCCGTTATATATTGAGAACTATTGTAATCGAATTGGAGGCGATCAGAGAAATATAATGAAATTACAATGGCAACAAACGAGAATTAAATGTTCCCCGAGTAATCGGTTGAAAATAGACGTCTAGAGCTTAAAGTATATTGTTCACTTTAAGTGTAGCCTGAAGTGTATCGTTAACTTGTTAAGAACGTAATGGATCTTTCGTTAATCGCCGAGCGAACGGATCCGAGTGAATGTACAGGATTAAAGACATCGCGGACGATTAATCTTGAATGTAAGTTCAAAGTCCAACGGATCTGTCGCGACGGAGCGAGATTCGAATGCGAAGAAAAATTAGATCACGATCGCTTAATCGATGGCGACGTGCTCGCGGCGGTTCAGGCAAAATGTAGCGAGTTTGGCCGCGTTCTCTCCGGGTGGGGTAAACCATGAGCGAATGGTCTCGGAAAGCGACTCGAGGGTATTTTCATCGTAACAGTACAACACGTGCACCCGGCCACAGTGCACGCACAGCCGACACTTCCCGGCCTCTCCGATCCCGTGTGTACTTACATCCCCGGTTGCGTTCTCGGTGTTCACCGCATCCCTGCAACATGTAATTAGAAAAATACCTGGAGCCGTCGTCGCAGCCGAACGTCCACCGACGCTGCACTCGAAACATTGGAAACTTAATAATCGGGAAGCAATAATTGGGAACTGGATGACGCCGATCGTGGACGTTCGCGAGATGACAATATGGCGAACATCAGGGTGGCCGTACGAGTGAGACCAATTTCAGCCAGGTGAGCGTCCAACGCCATATATTCTTAATTGTTCGTTTATACAGCTGCGCGTCGAACTTTAATCCGTTCACACCGGAATCTTACTTAATCCGATTAAGCGTAATCTCGTTGTTTCCGTCGCCCTATACTTAAGTTTTGAATCTACACGCAGGGAGAACAAAATGGAGGTGTCGGCGATAGCTACCGGTAAAACAGGTTTCTAATTCTGTAATTTAAGTTCGACGCGTCGGGTAACGCGCGCGCGTCCGAATTCGTCGCGCTGGTAAAAACTTGCGCTATAATGCGTGCGGCACATCCGCAGAGAGGCGAGCGTTAGTAATTATTGTCGCGGCGACGGTGACCTAAATACCTCCGCGAAATTAAGAATCGAAGGTCCCGGGAATTGCCGGGCAAAAATTAGAATTCTCGCCGGTTGTTCGCGGGGAATAATGAAAACGTCCGCGGGAAATTCTAGGTTGGCCCGCCGTTTTCGCCATTAGGCTCGCTTCTGGCTGGCGGGCCGGTGTATTTTAAGAAACAGCAAAAAACCGGCCCGCTCCGGATACCGTACACTTATGTGTCCCCCCCCGTGACGGAGGTCAAGGTTTACTCCCGCTGTTCCACACGCCGCAATTTCATTTTCGCGAAACCGTTTTTCCAACGGTTTTACGAGCGTCCCGGCAATCGGCCGGTGTCTGCAGGCAGCAGCGCACGGGGCCAGCAGGTAATTATCGTTCGCACGAGAATCCTGCCAGAAACGGAAATCTGCGAGTAGATTTATGGGGGTGCCGCGCGCGGCGCCTCTCCGTCCCGTCACTTATGAACTCGTTTCTATACTTAGAGGAGGCCGGGGTCCGCGGCGAAAGCGAGGCGATCTGACAATTACTTCGGGAAACTGGACGCAGCTCTCTCCGCGCGCGAATCGGATCGTAGCCGGCCTGTTAACGGATAATAGAAACATTTCACGCGCAGCGTTCGGCGGCAACTTTGCTCTTGGATCAAGCTGCACTTTCGTTCGGTCTGTCTTCGATGGATTCTCGTGATCGTCAGTTTTTCAGGAACCGTCGGATGTTCTACTTCGAGTCTAGAATCGCCTCGACTCGTTAACCCTTTGGCTACGGCAGAGTATTGTGTTTTTATAAGGAGAGTGGAAACCATGGAAACACTGGATCGAATTAAATTAAATATGAAATAATCACGTTTATATGATAGATGACTAACGGAGGATGTAATTGTTGAATCAGAATTCACTTGCGTCTGATCTAAGCGAGCTTCGCTGCGATTACTGTCGATAACATTTTACGGACGCCCACAAGCGCTAACAGTATAGCAAATTTTTAAAGCTCCTTTAGGCGCCGACAGTAGCCAAGGGGTTGAACATCAAATTTTCATACTTCTCATTAACCTTTCGACGACCGTGCCGGAGTTACTCGCTACTCGCGGTTATTCGGCGGTGGGGGATGCGTCTCGACAGCGTTTAGTCAAAAGTGACTACGACGTCGGTCGTCGGAGGGTTAAAGGTTTAGCGGAGGAACGTTAAAGAATAATAAATACTTTGGGATTCGTTTATTTCTGTTTACATTTAGTGTAATGTTCCGTGTGCTTTTATTGAAAGATAAATACCGGAGAAGGACTACAGTTGTCAAAGCCACGCTCTTCCGGAACGAGAGCGAAGGACAAACAAATCTCGGTTGAAGCGTGAAACGCATTAAAGTTAATTGCTACACCACGAACATCACTTTGCTTACTTCTGACTCGTTGACACATGTACGACATACAATTTGATTAATTCATCGCTGCAACTACTGTATCAGTCAGAATGACTCCTCCTGAACTTTCGTTTTGAAAATAAATAGCTTCGCTCGAATACTATCACCATCCGAACAAACTGAAAATAATCTATTCTTGAGTAGTGTTTTTACGTGTTGTCCCTGTTGTTTCCATATTTTATTAAATATATATTGTAGACGGTTCGCTTTTTGCGTGTCAATACTTGGGGGCCTGAGAGATAGTCCAGGCCCATTGACTAATTCATAACCAAGGGGACCATCAGGACCTGGGTCACGTACGCCCTCGTCCGAAGAGTTTTCCTTTTTAGAAAAGCAACCGAGGAAAAGCAGTTAGTCATCGCGTAATAAATATATTTAACCTGACTACGGACTTAGCTTTTATTTCAGTAGCCCTACAATATATTCATTCCTAGTTCTCGATTGCTCGAGATCCACTCTTTCGCTATCTATAATAATAGCCTCGCTATATATATTTAACGCGACGAGTTCCTGGTGGTCCCCTCGGCCGATCCGGGGGATGTTCGCGATAAAAGGACGGCGGCGGTCCGGTGGGCACGCTCGCGTCCGCCCGCGCGCGCACGCGACGATGCTCCGCCGGGTCGCGTAGGAATAGCACAACACGCCGATGACACACGACTCGACAGTTTAACGACTCAAATAGGAACACCGAGACCGAGCATCCGTTCTAGAATAACACTTGACTGGTCCGCGGGGCGCCACGCGGGGGCGGGGAAGGGGTAGAAGGGCGGATAATAACGTCGGTCGCCCGTTGCTATTCACGCGCGGGCCTCCTAGCCCAGCTACGAATTCATTCAGAGACCTCCGACGTCGGTGTTTTCTTGGGAACCGTCCTGTTCCCCGAAGTCCCGAGGCGTTCGTGAACGTCGCGACGAGCAACGACGCACCCTCGCGCTGATCCACTCGGTACTTCATTCAGAAACACAGTCACGCCGAGCGAGGAATAGATGCGACGGAATCTAACACGCGCTTCCGCGAACGCTGGGATCGATGAACCGTTCGATGTACATCGGTGACAGGCCGCTTGAATAGGAGCGATGATCTACCACCCCTGTGAATATCGATTTCTCGATACCGTATCGTAACTTGGTGATTCCTGTTCGATCCCTTGGATCGTGGAAGTAGTCGATGTTTCGTTTAAATTCAAAATGTACCGTGTTTATTGCTGATCAATTCTGTTCGTTTATATAACGTTCGAAACGCAAAGTATCCATTGTCAACACTGAAACTGCCGGTATAAGCGGTGAAACGGTAAAACGGTATAAGCATAGTCAACGCTTTAACTTCAACAAATCTAACTGATTAGATGTCCCGTCGATAAATATCGCGCGTTAAAAAAATCGGAACCGAACGCGTCCGACGGCCGTCGAAAGGATTCCGGAAGTGACATCGGACCGCGGCAGAGGCGCGGGACGGGGTTGATCGAACGCAGCCGGTTGACCCAGAACGGTCCCGGCACGTCCGGCATGTTCGGCACCGGTGAGGTGTTAATTTCGCAAAAACGCGATACGCGGCACGGAATCGCGTCCCGATTAGACCGAATCGGGGTGATAGGATCACGCGAGGGGCCGGGGCGAGAGCGCCACGAAGGTGATCGTGTGTGCGTGACACGCGCACGCCGATGCTCGGCCACGTAACCGCGTTTCCCAGTGTCCCTTCGCGCCAAATGGCGCGCCGGTCGGGTCGGAAGGCGACCCGAAAACCCGTTCGGCCGTGATTCGTGGACGGAGCCGTACGGGATTCTCGCGAAATCTCTCGGAAATCGGTTGCCGCTCTTTCCGCGCCGATACGCTCCGCGGATGGATGCCATAGGATATCCAATGGCAGTGTCCGACACGATTCTCGTTTCGCAATAGCCACCGGGTGACCTTTATGGAATTCCATACGCTACACACAGAAACGAAATCGCTGGATCACCCTTGGTTCTCGAATGGATTTCAGTAAATGCCGTCGATTTTCTGGAGGAAACAACTGTTACGCGCAAACTGGAAGAGATGGGCGATTCAGATTTGCTGGAAAAACAGAGGAGAGTTCCTCGAGTGCGTGGCTATAGGAATTTTGAATGTCGACGAGATCAAGTACTTGTAAATGACGATCAAAGTTTAAGAGGGGGTGGATGCGTGTACTTTGTAGGAAACTTCTGATACATTTTTGCGAAGATTCTTTCTAGTTAACGCGCTTTTGATCGTGTGTTCTCAGAGAGCTGAATGGGACGGGGTCGGAGGTCGTGGTCCGCACGGAGTTGAACGGGATCTCGCTAACCAACCTGAAGGTGTCTCCGAGCAAGGCCGGGGACAGCCGCGGGAGGGTACGGAGATATGGTTTCGACTACTGCTTCGACTCGTCCGACCCGGACGCGGAGAATTTCGCGGACCAGGCGAGGATCTACGAGACAGTCGGGCAGACGGTGCTGGAGGCTGTCCTGTCTGGCTACAACTCCTGCCTCGTCGCCTACGGGCAGAGCGCCTCGGGGAAGACCTACACGATGATGGGGACCAAGGTATCTTATCGCTTCAACGAATTTCGCGTGAATATCGTTCGATTCATAAGGGCGCGCAATTCTACGGAATTCCAATTACCAAAAAAGTGACTCAGCAAATTGAAATGTCCGATGCTAATTACTCGCCGGCGCGTTTATTGGCAATATCAACACCGACTTCCGCCGGTCCATCAACGCTCGAAAATGCGCGCGGCGTCCATTGGCCGGCGAACGATCAATTGCCACCGATGAATATCGTGCGCTGCAAAATTATACATTCCCAATTAAAAAGCAATAATAGTTAACGATCGCGAGACCGCGAGGAGCCAATCGCAAAAATTCATCCGGGCGCATCCTCGCTCGGCCGATTCGCCGCGCCGGTGATTCTTTTTCGAGAATTTCCATTCGCGCCTGAATGCGAACTGTTTTCACGGTGCGTCGCTTAATTAAATTGCCCCGCGGCGTCACATTAGAGGGGCTCGCTCGACGCGGGATTTTTAAAAGCGCTCCGCGTCCCGTTGATGCTCGAAATCGCAGCCGCCCGCCGCTAATTACGGATCGCGGAAAGGATCGCTCGGGTTGCCCCGGGACATCCCGATGTCCAGCGGTTAACGATACGCGATTCCGCGGCTGATTCCGCGATTCGATACCTTCCTCGCGTTTTATTTCCCCCGTATCGCGTGGCCGTTCGACACGCAAACTGGTCTAACGAACGTTCACCGTCCTCGCGACGGACCTTTCGCAGGAGGATCCTGGCCTGACGCCGCGCCTCTGCGAGGGACTCTTCGCCGGGATCGAGGAGAACAGGAAGAACCAGAAGAATTGCCGTGTTTCCATCAGGTAATACCTTGGAAATTCCGAAAACATACTGTTCACAGCTGTTCGACAGAATTCTGTGCTCTTTACGCTCGATTCTTTGCAATCGCAAGGAAATCTTACCAGTAGGACACCATCGATATACGAAACTCGTATAATTTCGTTAGACTGAACGCTCGGAAGTATCTCGTCGCTCAAGTTAAAAAGCGTATAGGAAACGCGAGGATCGGGAGAATCGAAAGCCTAGGGACAGTAATAAAATCTGTTGATTTTACCAATGAAGAATCGACGAAATCGTTTGCTCGGGAATTCCCCGTAGCAGTTAAGCCGAAAACAAACGGAACGTACGGTAATTCGAAGTTCCGTTCGATCCCGGGCCAACATAGATGAAGAAGCATTAGCCGGCTGATAAACGCGTCTGGATTGATAACTGTGGGAAAGCCGACATTCGTCTTTCACGGACGGTGGCGCATCGGTGAACGTACACCAATCGACGATCTAGGCACCGCCGCCCTCGCTCGGTCAAGGTCCGGCTATCGGGCCAATTTTACCTATCGTTTTCAGACGGATCGTGCTTCAAGTTCGTCCCGTTCGTGCTGTCGATCGGCTCGACTCCGGGCACTCGATTCGCTCGTCGACCTGGAACGGATCGTCCCCGGGTAATCCCCCTGTGCGCGCCGCGTGCTTTACTCGCATTCCAATGTAGCCTATACTCCTGGGGCTTCGTGAAACCCGTGGACCGGTGTTACACCGGCGACAACTTTATCGTTTCCCTTGTTACGCTTCTCTTTTCCCTCTGCTCGGCCCCGTTCCTCCCCCACGGAAAACGAACAAATCCTCCGCTCGGGTTTCTAAACGATTCGTTGCCACTACTTTGCGGCTTCGATCGGATTTTCGAGAATCGGCTGACGGGAATTACTCGGTTAGCGACGAGGGAACGCTCCCGGTGGTATTCGTTGTCGATAGGAACGCCGGTTTCGAGTATCTTCGGGGAACGAGAGGTCCACCGATAAGGTAAACACATCTCCAAAGTGGAACGTTCGGTTTCTGAAAGTGTCGAATTGGTCGGTAGGCGGGCGTGCAACTCGGAACTACCGTTTCGAGCGGTGAGTCGAACAACTTCCGCGGCGGGGGACCGGAAGTGTCGAATGGCGCGACGGAATCGTTCCAGTGGTTAATTAACGCGAATGGAAATCACGAACCCGGAAAATATTGTGCGCCGGAAGGGGGTGAACGCCGCTGGTAGGGGGTTGGACGTTGGAAGTCGAGCTTAGGAGCCGCGAGCTTACAAGCGCCGCTGGCCTGGATGTGTCTTGTAAGCTCAGTGCCCCGTGACTCGCAATCCTAGGCGGACGTCGGCTCGCTACACCTGTCTAGCAACTCGGAGCCAACCCCTGCAGCACTTTCGCCGCGACGTCCGACGCGCTGGACGGGTTCCCGTGCGAAGAATGTATCCGAAAACCGGCGAACCGGCAATCGAATCGTGGCGAACGTGATTCGGTAAGATATTCGATTCATTCGACGATCACGACGCTCACCCCCTTCGACTCTTCGCACTGTTCGCTGACGGTAGTTTCCTTAGATGCACTCTAGATTATGATTAGCGTATTTCCTCCATTTTCCCATCGAAAAGAAACCAGGCCTTCTAGTTCGCTCGTTAAACATATATTGGTGTTACTGACTTTCTTGTCACCTTAACGCCTATGGGATTTAGATTTGTGACGAAGAAACGGATAAAGTTCGTCACTGTTCATTATCGAACCCGTTCATTCGCATTTGTATCAACATCTAAATGGAACGAGGATTCTTTAAAGGACACACCGCGAAGATTAGTCCAAAGTTAATCTCGAAATTATTTTCATCCCCTAAATCTTGATTAACCGCTGCCTTGTAAATCGTGGCGAACTCACCGCGAAGAAGAAGAAGAAGAAGAAGAAACAAAAAACTCCGGCCGCGAACTAGCTACGTTCCGCGGGGGCAACCGGCAATCTTCGGATCGCGCTTTCCCTCGTAAACACCGTTTTATTCCCATATTAAACGTTCGTGGGATTGCCGCGAGCCGGTAACGGGGAGGAAAAAATAAAAACGTGCAACTTACAGCGGTCGGCGTTGGCGCACCCGTAAAAATTGTATTTACCGTT